TATTTTATTGAGAGTTTTTTCAGGAATGGGTGTTGGACTTTGTCAAATGCCTTTTCTGCATCTATTGAGATGATCATGTGAGTCTTCTACTTATGCAGTGGATTACATTGATTGACTTTCTAATGTGGAACCATCCTTGCATACTTGGTGTGAATCCCACTTGGTCACAGTGTATTACTTTTTTTGATATGATGCTGAATTCTATTGGCTAGAATTTTGTTGAGAATTTTTGCATCTATATTCTTGAGAGATATTGGTCTATATTTTTCGTCTTTTGTGACGTCTTTGCCTGGTTTTGCTATCAGGGTTATGCTGGCTTCATAGAACGAATTTGGAAGCATCCTTTCCTTTCCTATGTTCTGAAATAGTCTGAGTAGTACTGGTGTAAGCTCTTCTCTGAATGGTTGGTAGAATTCTCCAGTGAAGACATCTGGGCCAGGGTTTTTTGGGGGGGAGTTTTTTTATTACCTTTTCAATCTTTTCTCGTTATGGGTCTGTTCAGATTTTCAACATCACTTTGTGTTAGTCTGGATAGGTAGGGTGTTTCTAGAAATTTGTCCATTTCCTCTAGGTTTTCAAATTTGTTGGAGTATAGTTTTTCATAGCACTCTGTAATGATCCTTTTTATTTCAGTTGGGTCTGCTGTAATGTCTCCCATTTCATTTCTTATTTGGGTTATTTGCATCCTCTCCTGTTTTTCTCTTGTCAGTTTGGCTACTGGTTCATTGATTTTGTTGATCTTTTCAAAGAACCAACTTTTTTCTGGTTTTCTTGATTCTATTGTTTTTCTATTCTCTATTTCATTGATTTCTGCTCTGATCTCTGATCTTTATTATTTTTTTCTTTTGGTAGCTGTGGGCTTCTTTTGTTGTTCTCTTTCTATTTGTTTGAGTTGTGTAGCTAATGTTTTGATATTTTTTCCCTTTTTTCTTTTTTGATGTGTGCTTCTATTGCTATGAATTGACCTCTGTGCACTGCCTTTGCTATGTCCCAATGGTTTTGGTATGATGTGTTTTTGTTCTTGCTTAATTCTAGAAATTTTTCGATTCCATCTCTGATTTTTTCTATTACCCAGTGGTTTTTAAGCATGGTGTTATTCAGTTTCCATGTAATTGATTTTTTTTCCCTTGCTCTTCCTGTTGTTACTTTCTACTTTGATGGTGTTGTGCTCAGAGAAGATACTTTGTATTATTTCAGTGTTTCGGATTTTGTTGAGGGTTGCTTTGTGGCCTAAGATGTGGTCTGTTCTGGAGAATGTTCCATGTGCATTGGAAAAGAATGTGCACTTTGCAGGCTGTTAGGTGGAGTGTTCTATATGTCTATGAGGTCAAGTTGGCTTATTGTGGCCTTTAGATCTTCCAGATCTTTGTTGAGTTTCTACTGGTCTCATCCCTTCAGGAGCAAGGGAGAATGAAGAAAACTAAAGATACAAGGGAAAGATTAGTCCAAAGGACTAATGGACCACAACTACCACGGCCTCTACCAGACTGAGTCCAGTACAACTAGATGGTGCCCAGCTACCACCACTGACTGCTCTGACAGGGATCACAATAGAGGGTCCTGGACAGAGCTGGAAAAAAATGTAGACCAAAATCCTAATTCACAAAAAGACCAGACTTACTGGCCTGACAGAGACTGGAGAAACCCTGAGAGTATGGCTCTGAGACACCATTTTAGCTCAGTAATGAAGTCACTCCTGAGGTTCACCCTTCATCCAAAGATTAGACAGGCCCATAAAACAAAACGAGACTAATGGGGCAAAGCAGTACAGGGACAAGGACTAGAAAGCAGGAGGGGACAAGAAGGCTGGTAATTGGGACCCCAATGTCGAGAAGGGACAGTGTTGACATGTCAAGGGGTTGTTAATCAATGTCATAAAACAATATGTATACTAATTGTTTAATAAGAAGCTAGTTTGTTCAGTAAACCTCCATCTAAAGTTCAATTAAAAAAAAAATCCAGCAAACTAACATGGTAAAAATCCACGATGTTTCTCATCCAATCAGAATTCACCAGGCAAGCAAAGAAGCAGAAAAATGTGACACATCATGGGAAAAATATTTGTCCACAGAAATAGACACAGAAATGACACCTATGATATAATGATAGAAGAGCTACAAAAGTTGAGGCCCTCTCTCAGCTTTCTTAGCCTTTAAACTTGCACAATGATAGCTTCAGCTTGGAGTGAGGACGTTCAAGTCCTTTAGAAGCTCCTTCTATGCAGTCTCAGGAAATCTATGGCCTCTCCAAATCATTCTACAAACTATAGTCTCTGTAACCTGATTGCTCACAAAGTGTACATACTTTAAAAAAATAAAAGTTATTTTCTCAATGTCTATGGTAGTGTGATAAGGTGAATCCAAAGTCAATTTTTCAGCATCATAACTTCCTAGAAGGCTCAGGATTCTAGGAATCTGTAATCTTAGAATTAACACCGTCAGAGTATCAATTCAACAAGCTTTTCTTTCTTTGTGTATTGAAAATGTTTCTTATGTCTTTAAAAAAAAAAAAAAAAGTCACCACTATTAATACAGCCACCACTTAATCAATAGAATGAAAGTATTATATCATTAACAAGCCAAAATATTCCACATTCTTTCATGAACTGAATGATTCACTCCACCCCTTTTCTGTTAATACAAATCAATTAACCTACATTGGTAAGATTGACTTTGCTCAAACTTTTGGTCTCAGAACCTCTTTACACTTAAACATTGAGAGCCCTAAATAACTTTTATTTGTGTAGGTTGCATCTACCCGTATTTGCTGTATTAGAAATTAAAACATTTTTAAGACAGAAGAATACGCACTTCCAGTAGCTATCCAGGCAGTGATGTTAAGATATTATCACATAGCCTCTGGAAAATTCCACTGTATTCTTGAGAGAGAATGAGAATGAAAACAGCAAATAACATCTTAGTAATATTATGAAAGCAGTTTTGTCTTCACTTTAAAAATGCTGTTTAGCATATTTTACAGTTTATTCCCTTTGATAACATCATGAAGTTACGTCCCTTTACACACTCAGCACCCCAATTAAGTATAATTTTTATTTCCATTTTAATACTCAAAATTGTCACAGACTAACCAGTGAGAGTTCTTCCACTCTGGCCCCTTTGTTACAACCTCCAGACATCTTTCAAAATAATCTTTCTTTCTTATAACAGTATACTATTTCAAGGTCATATGGGTTCCTCAAGGAGCTCTGGTTCCTTTTCAGGAAGATTGTATTGGAAACTAAAAGCTGAACAGTATCATATGATATACAAGGGAAACCAAACTCTTTCACAGTAAATCTTCAGAAATATACTTGCACCTAGCAAGCTGATTACCAGTTATTTCCACCTGTTGAGCAGGTAGGCATATGCCAGAGCCTCTATAACACTTGGGACGGTGGGGACCAGGGAGGCCTTACACCCTTCCCCTCCCCTCAAGAACAGAAGGAAGTTAATATTGGTGGAATAATTTGGAAAAGGATAATGATGATGGTTGCACAACATGAAGCATGTAATCAATGTCACTGAATTATACATTGGCAAACGTTTTGTTACATATATTTTTACCACAATAAAAATTAAGAAAAAAAAAATGGAAGGAAGCAGGCTCCTCAAAAGTCCTGACAAATCATTACTCTATGGTATGTAATGAACTGTATGGTAAGTGGTGCTCTGTGAGGTTTAAGGAAGTTTGCCTCCCACACGGGGTACTGCTGGGGATCTGCTTCACGTAGCTGAACTTGTACAGGTAAGTTGTATCATTTACCTACTTTAAAGGATGTATTAGCCTTGGTCATATTTGTGGATATTTTACCCCAAAATCAGTCAGACAATTAGTAAAATTGAACATTTTTTTTCATTTATTTAATTTTCATTTGTATTTCTTATAAAATTTGCCTCTAAACATGGTTTTCCCTCATTCTATTTTGTGGCTTGTCTTTTTCTTATTAATTTGTAGAAGTTCTTCAAATATTCTTGAAAATAGTCCTTTATTTGATATGGTGTAAATAATTTCTTCTAAGCTAATTTCTTAATATTGGTTATGACCTTATATCACATATAAATTTTATTTTTTTATGTAGCCAAACAAACAAAAAATAAACTTGCTGCCATCGAGTAGATTCCAACTCATAGAGACCCTATAGGACAAAGTAAAACTGCCCCCATAGGGTTTCCAAGAAGTGGCTGGTGGATTCGAACTGCCAACCTTTTGGTTAGCAGCCATAGCTCTTAACCACTATGCCACCAGAGTTTCCAAACAACAAATAGGAGCTCCAAAAGAGAGAGAGAATATGAATGAACGAACATCTATGAGGAAAAGAAAAAATGCAAGGGATGAAATAAACTTCACTTTTCACTTTTCGTTAAAACTTCTGTAAACTGTCTGATTTTTTTGTTTTTTAACTATGTGTGTGCTTTACTTTGGTAGTGAATAATCCAATAACTATTCCAATCTGAAACCTCTCAGAAAATTAGGAATTTAATGATACTAAACCAGCAGCCAGCATCAAACTTAGTAGTGAAAACCAGAAGAATTTCCAAATATAGGGCAAGAATACCTATTATCATCTTTCCTATTCCCAATAACATATGTAAGGAAAATAAATAAAAGACAAGAATTGGTGGCAGGAGGGGGAGAGAAAACTGAAACTATTACCATTCATAGATGATACATATTTGCAAAATTCAACTTAAAATCTTTAGAACTAATAAGAGTACCTCCCTCGGTGGCTCAGATGGTTAAGTGATAGGCTGCCAACCAAAAGGCTGGTGGTTTGAGTCCACTCAGAGGTGACTCAGAAGCAATGCCTGGCAATCTACTTCTGAAAAATCAACCATCGAAAACCCTATGGAACACAGTTTTACTCTGACACGCATGGGGTCACCATGAGTCAGGGCCGACTCAATGGCAGATAACAACAAGGAAGCTAGTCACAAATATGTCAAAACCCAGGAAGAAAGCACAATGGAGATAAAGAAGATCCCATACCAATTAGCAACAACAAAATATTGTAAAGTAGAAATAAACATAGCAAAATGATGCTGGACTTGTATGGGGCAAAAAGCTAGTGAAAATTTACTGAGAGACAAAGACTTTAATAAATTGAGACATACTAAGTTTCAAAATTACATGGTTTCTATACCAGTATTCTTTTTATTAACTTTTATAAACCAACTTCAGTTAAACTCTCAATGGTATTTTCCTTTTTTTTACTTTTTTAAAAATTTTATTGTTGAACTTTAAGTGAAAATTTACAATCCCCAAGTTAGTCTCTCATACAAAAATTTATACATACATTGTTATGTGACCCTAATTGCTCTCCCTGTGCTGTAACAGCACACTCCTCCTTTCTACCCCTGATTTCCCGTGTCCATTCAACCAGCTCGTGACCCTCTCTACCTTCTCATCTCACCTCCAGACAGGAGCTGCCCATTTAGTCTCATGTATCTAGTTGAGCTAAGAAGCACACTCTTCACAAGTATCATTTTATGTCCCATGTCCACTCTAATCTTTGTCTGAAGAGTTGGCCTCAGGAATGGTTTTAGTGCGGGGTGGACAGAGAGTCTGGGGGCCATGCTGTCTGAGGTTCCTCTAGTCTCAGTCAGACCATTAAGTCTGGTCTTTTTTACTAGAATTTGAGTTCTGCACCCCATTTTCTCCTGCTCCATCAGGGACTCTCTGTTGTGTTCCCTGTCAGGGCAGTCACTGGTGGTAGCCAGGCACCATCCAGTTCTTCTGGTCTCAGGCTGATGAAGTCTCTGGTTTACGTGGCCCTTTCTGTCTCTTGGTCTACTACTTTCCTTGTGACTTTGGTGTTCTTCATTCTCCTTTACTCCCGGTGGGTTGGGATGAATTGATGCATCTCAGATGGCTGCTTGCTAACTTTTAAGACCCCAGATGCCACTCACTAAAGTAGGATGCATAACATTTTCTTAATAAACTTCACTATAACAATTGACCCAGATGTACCCTGAAAGCATGGTCCCCAGACCTCCACCCCTGCTACTCTGTCCCTCAAAGTGTTTGGTTGTATTCAGGAAACTTCTTAGCTTTGGATTAGTCCAGTTGTGCTCACTTCCCCTGCAGTGTGTGCTGTTCTTCCCTTCACCTAAGATAATTCTTGTCTACTATCTAGTTAGTGAATAACCCTCTCCCTCCCTCCCCACCCTTGTAACCATCAAAGAACGTTTTCTTCTGTGTTTAAATCTTTTCTTGAATTCTTATAATAGTGGTCTTATACAATATTTGTCCTTTTGCAACTGATTAAATTCACTCAGCATAATGCCTTCCAGATTCCTCCATGTTATAAAATGTTTCACAGATTCATCATTGTTCTTTATAATTGCCTAGTATTCCATTGGGCGGATATACCATAATTTGTTTATCCATTCATCCGTTGATGGGCACCTAGGTTGTTTCCATCTTTTTGCTATTGTGAACAGAGCTGCAATGAACATGGGTGTGCATATAACTATTCGTGTGATGACTTTTATTTGTCTAGGATACATTCCAAGGAGCAAGACTGCTGGATTGTATGGTATTTCTATTTCTAGCTTTTTAAGGAAGCACCAAATTGATTTCCAAAGTGGTCGTACCATTTTACATTCCCACCAACAGTGTATAAGTGTTCCAGTCTCTCCACAACCTCTCCAACATTTATTATGTTGTGTTTTTTTGGAATAATGCTAACCTTGTTGGGGTGAGATGTATCTCATTGTACTTTTGATTTGCATTTGTCTGATGGCTAATGATTGTGAGCATTTCTTCATGTGCCTGTTAGCCGCCTGAATGTCTTTTTGGCAAAGTGCCTGTTCATATCCTTTGCCCATTTTTTAATTTGGTTATTTGTCTTTTTGATGTTGAAGTTTTGCAGTATCTTGTAGATTTTAGAGATTAGACACTGATCAGATTTGTCTTAGCCAAAACTTTTTTCCCAGTCTGTGGGTTGTCTTTTTACTCTTTTGGTGAAGTCTTCTGATGAGCATAATTGTTTGATTTTTAGGAGCTCCCATTTATCTAGTCTCTCTTCTGGTGCTCGTGCATTGTTACTTATGGTTCGTGTTGTGTTTATGCCATGTATTAGGGCTCCTAGCATTGTCCTTATTTTTTCTTCCATGATCTTTATCATTTTAGATTTTATATTTAGGTTTTCAATCCATTTTGAGTCAGTTTTTGTGCATGGTGTGAGGTGTGGATAAAAACTTGTTTCAGTTTTTTACAGATGGATATCCAGTTATGCCAGCACCATTTGTTAAAGAGACTGTCTCTTCCCCAATTAACGGACTTTGGGCCTTTGTCAAGTATCAGCTGCTCATAGGTGGATGAATTTATGTCTGGATTCTCAACTCTCTTCCATTGGTCTATGTATCTGTTGTTGTACCAGTACCAGGCTGTTTTGACTACTGTGGCTGTATAATAGGTTCTAAAATCAGGTAGTGTAAGGTCTCCCACTTTGTTCAAAAAATACGGAACACTTAACGAATTTGCGTGTCATCCTCGCACAGGGGCCATGCTAATCTTCTCTTTACTGTTCGGCAGTATATGTGCTGTCGAAGAGAGCACTCAGTGGTATTTTCTTTGATGTAAGGGGCAAGAAGCCTGATCAAATGATTTTCAAATTCCTTTCAAATAATAAATACACTGCATTAACCAAGAAAGAGTACATTAATGAAGGACAGTACATGCCCTTCAGATATAATAATATTTTATAAAGCTATAATAGTTAAAACATCTAGGAAGAGATAAATGAATGGATCAAAGAAACACTCACATACATTTAAAAATTCACTAATGTGATAATGGCAGCACCTAAACTCACTGGGAAACAATCAATAAATGGTGATCTAGAACTAGTTAATTTTTTGAAGAAATAGAGCCCTTTCTCAATAATATACACCTGAATATTTCTAGATTAAAAGAAATGTATATAACCGTAAGTCAGAAAAGTCTTCTGAACATGACAGTAGAGGCAGACAAATAGAGATTTCAATACTCAACATCAAAATTATGTAATGCCTTTAAAGTCCTAAAGAACCATAAACAGAAGTCACAAGCAAAGGCCAAATGGACAGAAATATTTACAGCATATGACAGTTTAATAATCTATTTAATTAAGAAAAGAAGCACTCTAATGGAAAAGTACATAAAAGACACAAGCAGGCATTTCACAAAAGAAGGAATGCAAATTGACCAATGAACATTTGAAAAAGTTCAACCTAATTAGTAATCAAAGCAATGCAAATTAAAACAACAAGATACAATTTTTTGCCTTTTAGATTGGCACAAGATCAAAACCAATGCCCAGCGTTGGTGAGGGTTAAGGGAAGCAGTTCCAGTGCTGGTGGGAATGCAAAAAGTGTAACTGCTGGAGAACTGGAGTTGGAAATATATATCAAAAGATTTCTAAATGTTAATTGCAGCAATATTTATAACAACACAAACACTTGAAGCAATATTTGTGCTCTTCAATGGGAGAACAGTTGAATTAATTATGGTCTTTTTTTTTTTTTTGCAGCTCTCATACAAGCCAGTTAGATCTTTCTCTCTGATTTGGAAAGATTTCCAAATGCTAAGAGGTAAGACTAAGGTGAATAAAAACTAGTTGCACAGTAGCCTGAAGGATTTGATTCCACTCTCATCAAAAGAAGTAGAAAAAACTCACGTGGAAAACACACAGCAAACAACACTGATTACCTATTAAACGTGAGATATGAGGAAAAGAGAATGAGATTAATTTTTTCTGGTAAACTTCCGTATTTTCCTTTTCTATAGTCAGCAGTTAAGAGCTTGGCTGCCAACCAAAAGGTCAGCAGTTTGAATCAAGCAGCCACTCCTTGGAAACCCTATGGGGCAGTTCTCCTCTGTCCTATAGGTTTCCTATGGGTCAGAATCGACTTGACGGCAAAGAGTTTATAATCAGCATTACATTCTGTAATTTCTAAAATGTAGAAAAGGGGGGAAAGCTTTAAAATATGCATATTTTGATCCAGTAGTTTATTTCCAGCAATTTATCCTATGAGAATAAGTAACATGCACACACTAGATAAAATAATGCTGATCCAAGCATAATTTGAGTGAGAACTTGAAAACATCCAAATATCCAATAATAGAGTATTGGTTCTGTAAATATAGTACATTTATAGAATGGAAAGTTATTCAGCTATTAAAATGTAGAAATCTAACTGTAAAAGTGTCCAACATAGCACAGTATATTTCCATTACTGTTTTCTACATGTTTACTGAATATATAATGTGTATGTAATTTCCTACATATTATCTTCCCCTACATAATTCCTACCTAATGCCCTACATAGAAATTCTGATCTATTACTCATTTAGACAATATTAACCATTTTCATTACATGAGTAAATCTGTCCAGTTCTCTCTAACCACAGCATTCACTTGATTTTGATATAACTGTTTCCTAACAGGTGTGAACGTCTTTAAAACATTAGTTTTAAGGAAAATATTTATTTCATTTTGACTCTGGTCTTCAGGAATAAAATCTGGTTGAATCTGAGTTCAAAATGTTTTTATTTAAATGCTTGAAACCATGTAAGTATTGCTTAATCAGTCATCAGATCAGGTTTTGTTTTGCTACGTCTTTGTTTTTGTGTCTGAAGTTCTTAAGATGTAAGCAGTGGACCAGCTGGCTCTGTAGGGCAGCAAGACATTTGCTTCCTAGAAAGAAAGTGAGCTAAGGCAGAGGGTTCCTCAGGCTGCTCTGCAGAAAGCCTGGGGCTAGCCCTCAGTGAAGGCGGATCTGGATCTGGAGATCAGCTGATGGGATAAACTGAAAATCTCAGAAGGTCACTGTTCCTCCTCAACCCCCACTCCCAAACACTTAATCTTTGGACACTTAAAATACACAAATATTTATGAGAAACATGATTTAAAAGAAAGAGAAAAAGAGAGAGAACAAATCGTATTGAGAGAGAAGACTATTGTTTTTGGTCCATAAACGTTGACCACTTATCTACATCCTTTGTAGTATTACCTTAAAAATGACTCAAATTCACTTTATTCTCCACGTGAATCAGAAAAATACTGCCTCTTATTTATAAACTATTTTATTTATAAATTTATAAATGTTTGAAAAAATTTCAGGTCTTATTATCTCCGCTTAACTTTTAGCCACAAGATAGCTGCTCTGATTCCCACACGCTAAATAAACACCTCTGTTAGAGTTCAACTAGTTTCTGCCACAACTAAAAATTCATGTTTTCATAATTGCATGCAATAGTCACATTTTCAAGTACAACTTAACACATATAGGCAATATATTTTTAAAAGGAGTTAAAAACACACACACCCATACTTTGGGCACATATTTTATATATCACTTTAATTTTACCTTAATGTAAATATACATCTTTATGGATGAAAACTATTAAAACTTTATTCATAAATTAAAAATATGTTTTAATTGGTATTTGATAGACTAGTAGATAAAAATATGGAAATGTATAAACACTTTTTTGCAGGTTATAAGAATTAAATCCTTAAAAAATGATATATAATTAATGTCACTTTATGGCATGTGGTTTATTTGAAATCTATTGGTTCATTAGTATCATATTGGTTATAGCTAGTTGTTTCAGAACATTAACTGTCCTCTCACATTACTTCCAGAGATACTGGGGACCATCTGTTCTTGCAAGGGATTTAAGTACATGTCTATTGGATATCATGCTATTTATTTAATTCAGCACCCACTTCCTATTATTGCATTTTCTTGGGGGAAGAAGTCAATTTAATTACAGGGAATAAAGATAACCTCTCCTGGCAGGTTACCCTGTCAACATGAGAGCAAAGCAGGACCACTTAATGTAGGTTACAGTGGTGTTATGGATTGAATTATGTGCCCCAAAAATATGTGTTATAAATCCTAACCTCTACCCCTTGCTTATAAAAGAGATTAAACAAATGAGCAGAGGAGAGATGGGGTAAGATAGATGCCAAGACACACGGAGATCTCTAAGAAACCAGGAAGCCGAAGCTGAAGAGACAAGGACTTTCCTCCAGAGCCCACAGAGAGAGAAAGCCTTCCCCTAGAGCCGGCACTCTGAATTTGGACTTCTAACCTCCTAAACTGTGAGGGAATAATTTGTTTGTTAAAGCCATCCACTTAGGTATTTCTGTTATAGCAGCACTAGATAACTAAGACAAGCGGTTAGCAAAACGAGTAAAACCAACACTCAAGGATATTTAGCAAAGGTTTAACAAAAATAGAACAGTGAATGGCACTTTTAAAAATATTACTGTAAGCCTAGGGCTTGTCTAAATCAATCTTGGCACATCTGTCTGACGCAGACCGTAAACAGGATTAGAGCTGGATTTATCTGCTTGGCGGTAATTGTGCTCACAGTTTCTGCACATGTCCACTTTTTAAAATACTGCCTGAAAAACAAGCCTGCCTGATAGATAGCTCTCAAAACACAGTGTATGCACACACTTACGGTATATTAGATGGTTAAGCAATGTGATGTCTAACAAGTTTTTTTGGCTCTTCAGAATTACTTATCTAATCCCCTAATTAAAAATACAAAATTCTGTTTGAATACACCACATACTGAGATAAATCTGCGAAGCAAGGGACCAATAAATTTGACTACACTTTAATTGTAAGAAGAAAACACAATTTAATTGTTAATAATCAGGTTACACCAGGGTTTAAACAAATAGGGGTACTCCTAGAGTTGACTGAAAGAATACCACAATGCATTATTATCCTCAAGAATTATGACATAACATTTGTTGGTAGAAAAGCTTAAGTTCCTAAATACATACACATATCAACAGAGACAATGGAGAAATAGCATTATTTTCTAATAAAAGAATACGTGAATTTTTTAACGTACCATTTTCAGAGAGAAATTGCAAATCCAATACTCAAAAGTCACATTTTTTATCAGACAAAAGAAGAAAATTAATATTGAATTTCTACCTGAATTTTTTCCATTTAGTTATTTCTATCATGTCTTTTAAGAATTTAAACACTTGAGGATATACAAGTATTTCTGCATAAAGTCCAAAATCAACTAATCAAACAGTCAAGAAAATTTAAATATTATTTTGGGGATTTGAAATAGAGATAATAAACATGCTAATTCTTTATTCAAAACTATATTTAGTGCTTATAAAGTAATGTGTAAAAAGTAATATTATCACTTTTGCATAGTCTATATTTAATTAATCATAAATATCACATAAAATTGATACCTTTAAAAAGTACAGTGTAATAGAAAATATAGGCTGTTTGACTTCCAGTCATAGACAATCATCTGTTCTAAAGCTTTCTTCTTGGTATATAATTTATTTATGTTCTAAATGTCTTGGCTGGCTCTTACAAATCAAGTTTTTCTTTCTTTTCTCTAAATCTCTACCAATAATAAGACGTATGACTAAACCTATACTGTTGTTTTGCACAGACAAATATTCAGGGTAAATTGGTAAATTAAGTTAATCATGTAATGTTTAAGATCAACCCAAACACATTTTCAGTGTACAGTGTCAGAGAGTCTATGGGGTCAAACTGATTTCTATAGTAATACTTAAGATG